ATACTTCCAGCTAGGCTCGAGATTCACGGTAAAAGGATGTAGGCAGTGATGAGTGGCGCACGGTCTGGGTCCAAATATCACATGGGCTCCCGGGTCAAAAGCTTTCATCCCTTAGGGAGGTTTATTTTCAGCTTAAAAACACATTGACTTGTTCGACTGTCCCTCCCCTAACGACCGTAGTGAAAGTCAGGGCAAATCTCGCCATTGGGGAAAAATTTCGCAATATGCGACCCCTGCCCCTCGAATTTCTTCTTATGATTAGCCCCACTCCTTCCATATCCCCCGTTCTACATGTCATTGAATTTTCTGAACTCCCGCCCCTTTTCCAGAATTTTTCGTCAAGTATTCCTTCTCTTTTCTCAGAATCCTATCGTCAAGCGGGACGGGAGGGGGAAGGGGATGCGACACGATACAGAGCGCACTCGAAACAGGAAAAAACCGTGAAAAGTCCAACCGGAAACATTCTTATCGAGGGCAAAACGACCTCCTTCCCTGAGACGACCAAATACAAGCCACCTCACTGGAGATCCCCAACGTATGTAGGGCCCTGATGGAAGTACCACTACGGTTTTGAGTGGAAGCATAATGCATGGCGCATCCCAAAAAGATTCATCAACGTTCACAGGTTTACTACTGCTATACCGTCATTATGACTACTATCAAAAGAATGCTGCACCAGAAAAAGCATCGGTTCAAAAAATGTAGCAGTGTAGTTTAATAAGAACAGTTAACCCTGCAACGGCGCTAGTTTCACTGCTGAGGAAAATAATGCAATGATGATGATGATGACTATCACCGCCCCAAGTACACAGAAAAAGGGGCGCGGTTCGGCTTTGGAAGGGCATTATACAGTTCACTGGTTTGTTTTGCTAGTTCCTGTCAGACTACACGTCATACCTCGGTGAGACTTGTAGATTCTTGTCAAGTGCAAACGAATTTTTTCAAATGCGTAATTCTACAGGAATTTATAAGTATTCACAGGAGGCTTCGGCAGTGATTGATGGAAACCAGCAGAATGTCCCCACCAAGCCGAAATGCAGCGGGAGAAGGGAAGAAACGAAAACTTACTCAAGTAAGGATGCTCCAACAGTTCATTGACGTCAGCTCGTTGATGAACATCTCGAACAAGGCATCGCTAAAGAAAACACTCACGAATTCCCGTCTAACAATTCCTCGGCTAAGTTGTTCTAACTATTCGGAAAACGTGCCTTCAAAACATCAACCAACGAGGAATCACCACAGCTTGGAAAGTCTATCACATAGTCCGGATTACATATCGCAGCCATCCAAAATCAAGACGAATTAGACTGCGAGCATTCAAAAAAAGCTCACAGCGAGAAGGGACTAACCTTAGCAGTTTGGCTTTTCATTGTAAAAGGAAGCCTGCCGTAGACAATATTGTAAAGTATACATCCTAACGACCAAACGTCTGCCTTCAGCGGGAGCTTAATGGCGAAAATTATAGCACCAGTAGACCAATATGATCCATGTCAGTTAAGAATTCCTAAGCTATCCTCTTAACTACGGGAAATGCAGGGTGTAGGTGGTAGACTGACTAGTAGCGCTGCCCACCGCGCATGTTGTTTAGGGACAAGTCTCGTGTCAACGCTTGCTAGGGCCAGTCAAGCTGCTTCCCATTCCTCCAGGACGGTTTTGAATGCTTCAGACCTCTGTGGGGACAAAAATATCGGTAGCTGTGCATCCGGTTGACCACCCCGCATTTGCATAGGCATAACACTTTTCGAGATTTTCTCCTATATCTAAACGAAGAGCAATGGTATGACATCCAAGAAGGAGTGTTCAAATACCGAAAACTAGGAAGAGGTCGTGCTTCGCCAAAAACGCTCCTTATTTTTTTTGGCTCTATTTTGCTTGACTGCTAATGGCAGAAATTCTCAATGCATGCTTTTGTTTAGGAGGGAAAATCTTGGCGAAAGAACCCTTTGCTACATACCTTGACCTTTCCATCACCGTTTCCTCCTAGCAAAATTTCCGGTGCCATGTAACTTAACGTGCCCATTTGGCTCTCTTTTACAGCGGCAGTCTAAGAAAAAAAAACTAAACTCAAGCAAGCGTTCGAAATGGTGGAGTTCATGAAATTCCATAGGAATACGATCGAAAAAAGTGTTAGTACCATATCATTTGGGATTCCTGCAGCAATTCCGAAATCAATCAACTTAACAGTTCCCTTTACAAGCAGAAAGTTTGCTGGTTTCAAATCTGAGTGGACGATCTCTAAAACAAAAAGAGATCATAGCTTAAAGGCAGTTGGCACGATAAATCCCCCAAGACGAGTAGGAGTCATAGCTTAGAGGCAGTTAGCACGATAAATCCCTCAAGACGAGAGGATTAATACGCCTGTTCCGCGACCCTGAGCAGGCGCTGCATAATGCCTTTTCCAAGGGAGGTGCCCTTATAAGGGCCCTATCAAGCCACAACATTCCGACCCAAACGCCCGCCACGCCCGCCCGCCCACAAATGGACGACCGTTCCTGACGCTCTAATCGATTCATTTGCTAAGCAAATTATGAAGCGAAGGGATTGGTATGAAGCGGCCGTGATGCTGCATGGATATATGAGTACACATATGCAGCCGTACCTTCGGTAGCGGTTATTGGCAAGATGCCTACAGGAAACTCGTCCAAAATTGATTTCTAACACATTGAGAACGGAGGCTCTTTCTTCGCAGTTGACCGTTTCACTCCGTTCTTTCGCCATTTCCCCACTATATAGCGCCCTACTAGCATTTTAGGCCGAGCACCAAATCATCGTGCCAACTGCCTTTAAAGTGCACATATGGTGAGAATTAATCCCTACTTCTGTCATGTATGACTTTCACACAACGGAGCATTTCATTCCAGTGATATTTGATGAACGACGAATCAATTTCTGTGCGTCTCGTTTTCAAGAAAGTCGCCAAGTCAACGTCACCTTTCTCCATAACCACATATAAAGTGTTCTCCTCTTCACGTAGTTCGCTGAAAAAGAGATTCGAAAAATACCAGTCTAATCAAGGGTGGTCATCTAATCTTACTATTCAAGCATTTTGATAACATAAGGGCTGCCTTGGAGGCTCTTCAACAGCTCAATTTCATTCAAGTAACATTGGCGTACTGAAGGTCGTCTCCTGAAAAAAATTACATTCGACACAATCACTAGTAATGTGTGAATATTTCAGGTCCGCGAGCATGGGGGAAGGGGAGGGGAGGAAGGGGGGCGAGGGGGTGAGGCGCAACCCAAGCAATTAGTGATGTTGGGAGTTCTTGGTAGTTAATTTAAAGTAATCACTAGCTAAAAAGATAGTCAATGGATTTTTCAAGGGGGCTCCTCTGCAACCTCTCATCGAGACATTAACCCCACCCCCTACCAGATTCGTCTCGAAAAGTTCCAAGCAGGCGCGCAACGTGTGTGCCAGCCCAGCCTGCGCATTGGAGCCCACCGCTTGCCACTTACCTTACCCAGAATACTCCTAGTGACTGACTCGTAACAAACTGATCTAGGATACAAAAAAGGCAAGCTACGAAAGTAACTTACCCAGGTCCACTACTTTTCAATGCGCAGACTTCGCCTCGTGAGTCGTCAAACACTTCATATACCTGGAATAACTCAATGAATGCTTAAACTAGCAGAATCTGACCATCACAACAAAAAGTAATACACGATAAACTCTAAATACCTAGAAACCTGGGCGCTGTTCGGCTTGAAGGTGGCTTTTGCATTTTCACTGATTTGCTTTTCAAGTTTACATAAAGTAGGTCTCATCTGAGATGTGCAAAGTCCTGTGAAGACACTAAGTTGTGCTACTGAGGCATATGGTCACAGGAAATCACATGTCTTCACAGGTGGCCTTAAGTAGCTCAAATGAGTAAAAATCAGTGCCCCCACTAAGCCGAACTGCGCCGAGAATTGAAATCCCATGCCCGAAAGGCCGAGATCCTTCACTCACACGACTACTGCCACCTTTTCCAAGTAAGCTCAACCATATATAGCTGTGATTATTTATAGAGATATATTTGTTTTGTAAGGACGATGTAGAAAGTGATGGGCGCATTCCACCAGCTGACTGCGGGATGGCATCACCATGCGCTCGAGACTGAAATGTACAGCGCTTATTCACTAAAGTTATGAGAGAAGGAAAGAAAGAAGACAGAGCATTTTTCAATTTAATCAATCAAAAATCGATTTCCGATTCGACAGTCAACAAAAACCCGAGTAAGACCTACCTCCTTCGAACCCACACTTTTGCTCCTAGATTTTACTTGCGCATCCATCGCAAACCGATTGTCACATTCCAATGCTCGTGATCGATTTCCGCTGGAAGAATGATATCACTTCTTTCAAACAGGCATCACAGCGTACGAACAACTAGTCTCACAATCACGAATTTCACTTCGAAAATTCGGATAAAAATGTTCCAAAAAATCACAAGAACTAGGTGATCAACAGGGGCATACCTGTGCTCTTTTTCAGCATGTCGTTCAGAAATTGATGAGAGCTGCCTAGACGTTGGTGTTGGTACAGGCGGTCGTCTGGCTTTTTGCGAGGGCGTATAAATCGCATCCCTTCCAGAAGACAAGCTACTACTTTTATTGTGAGGTGCACTCTGAAAAAGCTTCATCACGCGCTTCTAATAAGATTAAGAAAACGTACAGTTCCCACCAAGTATTAAGCGTTATGTCGCAAAAATTCCCCACATGATCGCCTGCATCAAAAATTGATTAAAAAATGAAGAAGTTCAATAGTCATATTAGCCAGCCATCGGTGTCATGTTCTGAGTTGTACCAAGTGTGTGTTCATGGCGTCTGGTTTTGATGACGTCTTGACGTCTGAGACGCTTGGGGGAATCCGCTTCTCGGAAAGGTCAGAGTTCTCCGAAAATAGGCAGAAACCGGCATTTTGGAAGAATGCGCGCAAAGGAAAGTATAGATGACTATCTAGCGTTCTGGCTAATCGATTCCCGTCCCTCCCCCTTCCCCCCCCCCCTTTCGCGTATTCTTTCAAAACTATTTTCTCGAACGCCACTGCTTCCGAGTCGTGAAATGTGACCACATTGTAAACCATAAAGCCACGCCATTCACTTCTATTGAGGAAACAAGTGTATGCCATATGGCCTACGCAGAAGCTTGGGGGACAGCCAATGTAATAGTCCGAATACTTCTTTTGTAGGAGTCTTGGGATCATCGTACCCTGTAGGAGTACACCCTTGAGAAACAGAAAACATGGCAGGACGAGGGGGAGCCAGCCTACGACTTAACCGCCTGTCCGTGTGCTGATTAGGTTTTGATCATAGACTTTGAGTCGTAGAGCCCGGAGGCATGTATAATTATCGATTCAGAGAATCTGATGAATCCTATAATCGCAAGAAACGCAGAATTGGGACAACGGGTGAAATGGGCTAGATACCAGATCTAAAAGCTATGTAGAAACTTGTTGCTCAGTGCCATCCTCCACCGGGGGGGGGGGAGAGTCGACTCCACAGAATCCGCTGATATGGGAGATTACGATTCGAACCAATACCTTCACTTTCCTTTTCTCCCATTTTTGCGGATTTCGCAGATTCTTCGTGAACGAACCCGAAGCGGCGCCCTTGCCACAACACCCTTCGCCCGAGAGCATCAGTAAACACGTTCATTGCAAACTTGAAAGAAGAGAAATCCCACAAGCGGTCGCAAATTGCATAAAAAGCAGGCCCGCTCGCATCACGAGGCTGCTAAGAGTTGCATTTCGAAACCAATAACAAAAGAAAATCTAACTGCTAGACTGTCGTTGATCTTGCTCATATCGAACATTTGGCCAGGAGGTGCAGTCTTATTCTGACGGGCAGTGATCGAGGTCGATAACAGGCTGTTCTCCTTATTTCCTTCGCCTGAATAAATCTACGTTCTCCTCAAATATAAAACATTACATTAACATTATAATATGGAAAAAACAACCAAGCTCAGATTCAAAACAAATGAATAATCACTTCGTTGTCACCAAGAACAAACAACGGCCCAAGGCAAAAGTGGCCTAGTTTCTGGAATTTCCATCCTCCAAAATCCATATCTATTCCATTGATTCTAGTGATTATAGAAAACAAAAATAGGAAGTTCGAATTGGCGGGGGCATTTGGCCGTTTCCACCACTGCCTATGCCTCTTGGTGGTCCACGAGCTTCGTTTACACCCGGCAGGAGTCGACAGGTTTCACCAAGGTATGTCGATGCATTTTTAATCTAACTTGTAATCTTACTGGAACTAGCCAAGAAACTAGCAAACATGCAAAATATTCCCTCTAAACCGAATAGCCCCAAACAAGGGAAAATTCAAAAAAGCAGAAGCTAGGCCACCTACTTTGTGACGTTCGGCTAGCCTCGTACATATGCAGTTTCTTCCTGTTTTTCATCTGCAGTGCTAAAATTCGTTGTGCCAAAGGAATCGGCTGATCGCCAGCCTTTTCCGTGGATGACATAGCCTCTGTGATGAGTTCTGGAAAAATTGAAAAGTTTTGTAGTACCATTTCCGAGCAGGTGGAGAAAAAAGCAGTCAAAACCAGTGTGGAATCTGACCAAGGTTCATGCTATTCAAATGAGTAGTGATGGTAGAAACTTTATCGCAAAAAAAACCAGACAACTGTTCAAACAGATGTGCGTATAATCAAACAGGAAAATGTACAAAAACTCGAACAATAAGGGAAAACAATCGATTTCTGCAAAAAACCTTTTGAGCCAACCAAAGCCAGGGTTCACTAGCCTGAAACTGCCTCTAGCAAAATGACTACAGTGCAACAATGAAAGTCGAGCATATCTTGTGCCTGATGCATAAACCGCTCGCCCTACTAGCATGACAAAGCCGCGATGCTTTCAAGGAGAGCTCTTTTCTAAACACTTTGCCCTCTACGGTCTTACAGAGACACCGCCAAAATTCCACATGTACAACGGCGACCATTTTCAAATTCAAAGGCAGTGGGCATGACTGCTGAGAGTGGACAATTGTTTGAGCGTCATTTGGTGGAAGGGGTAAGTGCGGCCAAACGCCCTCTCGCACACCCCTGCACCAATGACGCTGGAAACAACCGCCCGCCTCCAGTAATTGTGCCCACTGCTTCCAAGAGAGCAAAGCAGGAGCAGTTAACGCATCAAGCCTGATTATTCGAGGATGTCATATTTACTAATTAGCATAAAAGTATACATAACATAACAAACCACCTATCTCTAATAACTTGACTAACTTAATAAAAAGAACATTCACAACATTGAAAAGTGTTTGCTAGACTATCGGAGGATAAATGGGATCCTCTTCCTTCTCTCCTTCGTTCAATATCCTCTCTTTGTAGTCCATGTACCTGGATCAAAAACTTCATATGCGAACGCGACCGCTATATAAAAATGTTTCTCCAAAGAATCAACGAAATTCTATAAGAAAAGCCAAAGGAAAGAAAGTTGCTCAGCAATTAGCTCATAATAACTTTTTGAGCCTCAGGAAAAATGGAATTCAAGCCCGTACCATCCCAAGACGGGGCCACTGCATTCGGGGGTGAAAGAGGACCACGTGACCACCACCAACAAAAGGAAGAAATAGACATGAGGTGAGAAACTACTACAAAACATAGATGATTCGTTTCCTCCATAATCTCAGACGAACCAAGTCCGGTAGCACCACAAAAACCAGCGAAAACTGTGTCCCCCACTCCCCTTCTCAAAAATGCTGCTAAACTAGCATGTGTCTCCCTCCCCCACCAATAGTTTCTTGCTACTGCTTTTTCAGCCTCTGCTAGTTTTCATAGCCGCAAAAAGACGTTAAAGGTACGCGGGCCGCCTCAATGGCCCTCCCAAAAAATCGAAACAATTTTGAAAAATAAGCTCAGCTTAGCTTGGCGGACCGAGTGGCATTCAGCTAAAATAAGCGTGCACAGGCAACCTTGTGAAGCCTGCAAACTCCACTGTGCACAGAAGTTGCCCACTCGCCCACCATTATCCGCAAGCCTTTACAAGAGATATGTGGGTCATCAAGTAAGGACAGCATCTTAAGAGCGCGTTCAGACTTCGCGATCGCGCGATCCGGATCGCGTGATTTGGATCGCGCGATCGCTGTGATCGCGTGATTTGGATCGCGCGATCGCTGTGATCGCGCGATCTGGATCGCGCGATCGCGCTACTGTGGGTGAAATTACACCGGGAGGGGTCATGTTCGTTTATGTTTATTGTTCCTGTTCTTTTTTCCTTTTCCTTCTTTCTTCCTTTGTGTAGCATAACGCCAGCTCCTTATTTTAGGAACTGTTTCGATAATTATCATTTGAGTTAATTTATATATTTCCTACTGTAAATAGTACTAAAATATACAATAATAGCTAATTATTATACTGAATTTTGCATCTGAGTACGTTCAAGCGGAGTATTGAACATCTTGTTCCAAAAGTAAGACACGCAGAACTTTCAACAGCGGGTGATGTTGTTTCTCTCCCTTCCCCCGATTTTGCCAGTTCTCCAGATATTCACTTTACTTTTGTCACATTTGTTTGCTTTGTTTGTTCTGCCATCCTCCAGGTCTATACACAACCTTTCCTTTCGACGGTTTCTGCAAACGTCAGTATTGCGAATATGAACACGGAATAAAAGACATCAAAAAAGGTCGAACTACTTTTATATCGTTTTTGGAACTGCCTATTGGAGGCAGGATACAGCATCGTGATGTGAGAAATGGTGATATCAGTACGACTCCCCAGAACTTTGTTGTTGTTGTTTGTTGAGTTGAGTTGAACACGAACGAACATGACCCCTCCCGGTGTAATTTCACCCACAGTAGCACGATCGCGCGATCCAGATCGCGCGATCACAGCGCATTCGCGCGAATCGCGCATAGTCTGAACGCGCTCTTACATGAAGATACAGAAGCCGCTAAAGCAATATGCCCCCTCTTAGCCGAACAGCCTACAAAATATCATCCCTGAGTAGTATACTTTTTATTTAGCGAGAACATTGAAATCAGCGCCAAAGAGACCAAAGATCCAAAAAAGACTTGGAAACCATGGCAGCTGACATTTAAATTAAACTAACGCGAATGTGGTTCCAAAAAAAAAATTCAAAATTTTTCCTTTGAAAGGCGAAAAAAGGATTGAGTATATCTAAAATAAAAGCCTCACCTGTACTTCTTGTTCATTGGGCCTGCACGATGAAGTTGTTTCAGCAATCGCTCTTCCAAGAGATCAAGAGCACTTCTGGAGAACACTATCGTATCATATTTCAAGAGCGAGAAGCAATTCAAACCATAGACAGGCATTGCTGTGAACGAGGGCAAATGCTCTATGGCCGTCACCAGGCCACCGCTTATCTATAAAGACTTTTATTATCACTAATCGAAAAGAATTCAAATATTGACACTATGAAGCAAAAATGTATGCTGTAATGCTTGCAAAAAAAGATCTTTCGTTTTCATGAGGATCAGAAAGTAGAAGAGTTAAGTAACGGCAAATTCGCGCTTCAGAAAGGTGGTCTAGCAATTGGAAGGCCGATCTGATAGAGGCGCCACTCCAATAAGCTGAAGCATTCAGTGCTCTGAGGGGCGAAGAGATGACCGTCACCGATTTCACCTACGATCATAGTGGAAGGAGCTTAGGAGCGATGAACGAGTAGCTTTATAGAAAGCCAAAAGAAAATGGGCGCAGTTCGGCTTGGAAGGGGCATTTTGCGCTTTCGCTCGTTCCTTTTGTTAGTCCTCGCTAAGTTAGGCAGCGTTCACACTTCGCGACGGCACCGCTTTTCGGTGCGCATGCGTTCAACTGCAGCGATCGCGTCCAACGCGCGACCGAAGCGCTGCCGTCGCGAAGTCTGAACGCTGCCTTACACTTCACAGCCAGATGAGACGGGTAGACTCTCGTCAAGTGTCAGCGAAGATCGTGGTGCTGTGAAGTTTCACAAGTATTCACAATTTCGCACAGGATCTATCGCCAGTGACCGACGAGAACAAGCATCAATGCCTCCACGAGCCGAACAAAAAACGTTCACTGCTTCTTCACCAAAATGCCCTATTACTGGGCGGCAGAGAAGAGGTAGTGGCTATTTTTTGAAAATTTACTCAATTCTGACCTCATCAGTATCGTTCACGAACAGCACAGAGTATCCCCAATTTCGCGTATCTGCCAGATCTTGAAGGAATTGAGCGTCAGCTTCCGCGGGCAACCTGTCGAATCTATCAACTATTTGTAAATCGTCCTGTGCATGTTTCAGAGTAAGAGCGACACACAGCCCTGAAACAGTACTATCAGTGCACTTCATGCAAAACATAATTTTGGATTAATTTAGATATGGACCTTATTCTTAACTGGGCATAGGTTGGGACTCGACGCGGATTCAATGCCCCTATTTTTCGCCGTAATTGAACGAGTTTACTGCAATCACGATATGTCGCAAGAAAATCGTAATTCGTCGTGTTGGTCGGTCACGCATTGATGACGATGTTCTCGGTCGCAGATTGGCGACAAAAGACAATGTATAACCAAAAAT